GTTGGTGAGGTTTTATCCTAATGTTTTGGTTCTTCATTTCAGCTTATCAGGTGTAGCTCTCATGCTACAAAGCTCTAGAAATGAGCTTTATCATTCTGGATCTCATTTTTTCTGTTTTCTGTGTTCACTGCCTTGCTCCTCTCCCCTTCCCTAGCTTTGTGCTATCCATATTCGGTAAGCAGATCCTTTGTATTTCTATCCAAATCATTCATGAAAACATTGACCAGAGCTGTAGAGCATATCCCAGACACCTTTCTCTGTCCATTTATCAGTATTTTTTTTTCAAATATTTTCAAGCTGTGAATCTCTTACTTTGTTCTACTACCTGGACTTACAGTTTTCATTTCATCCTCAATACTCCTTTTCAGTCAAGTATGGTGAGTGATCCCTGCCCTGACAACATAGGGAGATTCAGAAATGACAAGAATACTGAAAGTCAGAAGTGCCAAGCATCAGCACACTGTCAGGGTGCTGGTGCCCAGGGAAGGATGTGATCTGGGAGCTCTCTTCTGACTTTTCATGAATTATAGTATCTGAGATGAAAGAAATCCAAAAGCAAGACAATCCATTTAAATATGGGCTAGCTTTTACTGTTAACATTGAACACATCATCCCAGCTGTGTAGCTTTATGGGGAGATAAGTGGGATGTTGCTATTCTCACCTTCCAGATCACAGAAGCTGGGACTGTCCCTCAACAAATATTTGCTGAACAAATCAGTGGGTCAGGTTCAGGCTAGTCTTCACTTCAACTTTATATTTGCAGATTTGGGGAAAGAAGGATGAATGGCTTACACACACGCGCCCTACCAGAGCCTCCTTCAGAACCAGCCAGAGCTCTGCCTCTTCCACTCAGTCTTCCCTTGACAGCTCCTGCCCACACATCTCGTCTCTGAACTCCCATAGGAATGCTTGATGCTTTGTGTGGCCACCCACTTCCTGAGTTTATGTCTCATCACCCCAAATCCTGGAAGAGAAGTTAGGGCCATGGCTTCCCATTATTTTGTGCCTTCCACAGCATCAAGTACTTGATTGAGCAAGCTGTTGAACCAAATGTGTTGCCACCAGATGGCACCAGAGTCCCTGCTGTTCTGAAAATCTTGTGTAACTTTCACTTAATTGCCAAGCTAGCCATTAAAAATGCCTTCCTTAGTGAAGAAGCTTTAACTTATTTATTAAGCAAAATGCCAATGAATACTACAGTAGACACAAATAAATTTACCAGGCAAAGTTGTAACTGACCATTTTCCCCAGGGTAGTCTATTCTTTTCTCCCAATCCCTCTGCCCTGCCCCTTGTCAGGCACTGGGCTCCCACCCCAGCAGCTGCTTTCCAGGCCATGAACAGAATCTGGCTTTCAGGCCTCACTGATGGAGAGTGCCTCGATACCTGAAAGTGGCCTCAAATTCTTGGTTTGGGTTTTGGGATCATTTATTTTTCCCGGAAAGGGCAAATTAAACATTATAAAGAAAATTGCTGTAATCCCACCACTTTAATATATTGATTATTTTGGTTACCTCATTGCAGTCTGCTCCCTTATATATATGACTTTATGAAGTCTCGATCATGTGAAGCACAGTAAGAGCTCTCATTCACTGAATGATTACTATGCAGCTCTGCTTGTGGTTTTATATACATTGCTTCCATTGAAATATAAGAGCTCTTATGTTGCATCCTTACATTGTATTTATTACATCACTTACATTGAATGCTTACCTCATTAGGCACTGTTCTAAGAGCTTTCCATGCGTTAATTCACATAATCTATACTCTCATCTAGCCTATTAAGAGTAGATATTGCTACCCTCATTTATAGTTCAGAAAACTGAAGCTTATCAGAGTTAAGTGACTTGCCTAAGGTAACACAGTAAATAACTATTGGGATTCATGTCTCGATCTCTAGTTCTAAAATCTCTGGTCATTTCCCTATATCATTCTACTTTGTTCACTTTTTGTTTAATGATTTCTATTTGTACTTTAGAAAGGGTCTGAAGATTCATGGACTCATTAAAATAAGGGTTTGGTTTATGTTACTCTCCTGCTAGATTGTGTTCCTTGAGGACCGAGATTAGAGGTCATATTTATTTCTATGTTCCTCTTCCCATCAAATGCAAAGTAAATACTTGATGGATAAAAGAGTGAATGTTGCCTTCATTCTTCCATGAGATCTGAGCTACAGGGCTGCTTAACAGAACCTTAGCCTGCTAGAAGTTGAACGGGCTTGAAAAATCAAGTCAAACCCTTCCTTTATTTAACAGAGAAGGCCCTTCTTAGGATGACCCAGTGAGTTGGAGGCAGAACAGAGCTAGAATCCAGGTCTTCTGGGCTTCTACTGGGCCATCTGGTTTCAAAGAGCCTAATCCTGTCCCTAAATTCCTCCCCTCCCCTCTTCTCTTATCTTTCATGATGTGTAAGTTGAGTAGCTTTACACCCTTGAAGTTTCAAGCCTGTAAGTTACAAAGCAAGGCAAGACTTTTCATTCCTGTTACTCTGATGCCCAGATTTACTCCTGATTATATCTTTGTTCAACTCAGGATAGAATCCGGGTCCTCTGCCTCTCACTGCACCCAAAATATGCAGAGCTGCAGCTCACACAAGGAAAATTACCTTGACTGGATTCCCCCAGAACTATTGATGGTTGATAGGGAGTGGGAAAGAGGCTTTAGGACAGTCTGGTAGTTTTCATGCAACAGCCAAGTTTTGGAAAAGCTGGAAGGAGACCAGGAATTCCTGCTCTTTCTCAGAGAGGACACGTGATTTAATTCTTCTCTAGTCTCTGGGACAGCTGTTTTGTAAACACCCCATGAGCCTATGAAAGCAAGAGGTCTGAAGGCTAAAGACCCTGCCGCCCTTCTTTCTGCACCCACCTTCCTCTCCCCTCTTTTAGTGTCACGATTCTGGTTGTCTTATCCCCTAGTTTAAATAATCTGCAGCTGTTTATTAACAATGCAATGTCTTTTCCTGATTTTCTCCCAGTGTGTCCTAGAATGTCACCTGGGGCATTATTTGGGTAGCTATTTGTTAGTACATCCTGGTGCTTCCACACTTTTTATATAAGGCCAGAAATATTTTAGAATGCTTCAGTCAGAGAGTTAGCTGGGGCTTCCTGTACAGGAGAGTTGGTACTGAGGCTACATTGCTCACTGACCAGTGGGCACACACAAGGGAAGCTCTAAAGCAAAGTGGCCACTAACCGTTCTCTCGCATTGTCTTTTTTTAAATATGTAAAATAATAATAATAATAAAAAACCAAAAACTTTTTCTTGCCATAGAGCAGTCTATAAAAGAGTAGTAGCTGCAGACAGCTAAACACTAAAAAGATGCCTTAGCCAGTCCCATGGGGCTGTTGAACATTTGAAATGCAGCTAGTCTGTTTTGAGATACCCTATAATTATTTTTAAAAAGTTGAATTTCAAAGTCTTAGAACAAAAGGAAAAAGTAAAATATTTCTCAAATATTTCATATTGAGTACATGTTGAAAGGTAATATTTTTGACACATGGGTTAAATAAAATATTAAAATTAATATGTTTCTCTTTATTTTTTTAAACATAGCTACTAGGAAACTTAAAATTACATACATGACTCACATTATATTTTGACTGGGCAGCACTAGTCTATAAATGCCCAAGAGTAAATACTTTCTCAAAAGTTTTCTCTTTTATGGAACTTCAGGACACTAGCTACTATTTCCCTCTCTCTAGTCACCCACCCATCCTCCTTTTAAAAAAATTGTTCTTGGGGGGAGAGTATAGCTTAGTGGTAGAGGGCATGCCTAGCATGCACAAGGTCCTGGGTTCAGTCCCCAGTACCTCCATTAAAACAAACAAACCAACCAACCGAAATACTGCCCCCTCCTCCCAAAATGATCTTTCATTTTATTTGATAACATCAGGAAGAAAGTCTCCATTAAGTGCTAGATATTGTCGTTGTTGTTGTTGTTATTATTATTATTGGTTTTTTTTTTTTTTACACCTGCTACTCACCTGAGAAGAGTGACATCTAGTGAAAACTGGGTGGTTGGGGGAAGGCGTTAGGAGGCAGTGGAGCAGAAGACTGATGATTAGTCCAAACTTCTGACTTAGAATTGTTTTATACACTTGGAACTCTTCAGCTAGCAAGTCTGAGGTAAAGATCTGGAGGAGGAAAAGTAAAACAGACACTCCCTAAAACAGAAACGTGCCTCCCTCTTAGGGCTCTAGTCTTGCTTTCCTCTCATTTATGTAAATTCATTGAGGGTCTGTCATGTGCCAGACAATTTCCTAGCACAGAGGAATCAGATGAATACAGCCTCGTCACTGCTCTCAGGGAGCTTACATTAAGGAAGAGAATGAGTTTGAATCTAGTCTCATACTCTGGGTAAGCACTATAACAATGTTGGAAAAGAAAAGGCTTTTGAAGCACTAGAAAGTCTGACTTTTTTTGCCTGGAAAGGAGACCAAAGGCTTCATGTGTCTTGGATGTATTATCAGGCCGAAAGGTTGGTGGAAAAGATGTTTTAGCCTGAGCAGGACAACTTCACTACAGGCAAGCGGAGTGATCGAAGGTGGTCCTTGAATTAGTAGTTTAGAGCTCCATTGTGGGAGATTTGACAGCCTGTCTGAGGATGTTGGATCTTATCCTGTAGACAGGGGACCCTTAGAGGATTCTAAGCAGGGGAATGACATGTTCAAGACTGGATGTGCTCCTGGGAAGGATAGAAGGGAAGGGAGACACTGAAAGCAAGGAGACTTAACAAAGAGGTGGTCAGCCAGGTGAGGGTCAGCAAGGGCTCAAGTGGAAAGGGGAGAATATGTACAGTAAACAATTGGGTGGGGGATAAAAGGTTGGTGTCAGGCACAGTCCCAGGCTCCTAATTTGGGTCACTAGGAGGTGCCTTTATCCAAAACTGGAAATGTAGGAGAGGAACAGGCTAAAATGGAATAGACACGATGCTCTCTGGACCTGCGGATAGAGCTGCAGAGGGAGCTGGCTGGAGCTGAAGTGCTTGTGTTTGTGTTTCAGATGGTGACCCTCTTTCAGATGTGGGTTGTTCCCCTCTATTTCACAGTGAAGCTGCACTGGTGGAGGTTCCTTGTGATCTGGATCTTGTTCTCCGCCATCACAGCCTTTGTCACCTTCCGAGCCACCCGAAAACCACTAGTACAGACAACCCCAAGGTGAGAGTTTGGGTGGTGGGTAGCGGGAAGGAGCTAGGTTTCCCAAAACTGACAGGTTGGGATGTGTGGGAGTGGGGCAGGTTTAGTTTGAAAAAATTACAGCTTTTGTCTGCCAAGATTACTTGGCTCAGGGTCCCACCAAAACAAGCTGATTGGGAGACCTCCTGCCCCATTCACAGATTAAAAAACCCCAAGTATTTCCCTGTAACTTACCTTATGATTTCTATTAAGGTCTATTTATATTAAAAGCAAACAAAATAAGTAAGCAAATCCTGGTCATTGTGGTCTCATTTTAAATGTTATTTTCTTTTGTGAACCTTTCTCTGATCTCTAAATTAGATTTTCTGTTGTATTCTTTCATAGTGGTCTATAGTTTTTCCTTGTAGAACTTATCACAGTTCACAACTAAATATTATTTTGAGTATCTGTCTTCTCCACTAAACTAACTGTGAGATCAGGAACCACACCTATTTTGTTTATCACTGTATATCCAGGCCCTGTGGCACAGGGCCTGGCACATAGTAGCCTATTCTATGAATTTTTGTTGAATGAATGAATCTCAGCAAATTTATAATTTTCCAACAAACAATACTTCCTTCTTGGGTCACAGAGCAGCCTCTGCCTGTATAATTCTTTTGTATTTCCAAATGCATTTCCCATTTGATCCTCTCAACCAACTTGTGAGGTCATTTAATCTGTACCTGACAGGACAAAAAGCGAGATTTTTCTCATTCATTCATTCAACAAGCACCTGCTACGTGTCAGGCCCTGTGCTGAGCACTGGGGATACAGAGCTGGGTAAGACATGGTCCCTGCCCTTAAGGAGTGCTCGGTTTAATGAAGGAGATGGACGAGAAAGCAGCTGTCTCAGTGCAGTTGGTAGGTGCTATGAGATGTGCGTGTGCAGGTCCAGAAGGGCCTAACAGAGGAACTGGCCAGCCTCAATGTTGTGACTGCCTCATCCAGAGTCTTCCAAATTGCAGCTTGCTCTTTTTCCCATGCCTTGTATGTTCCACTTTACTGTAAGCCTTTCTTTGGCCTTCTGTGTTTCATTGTTCAAAGGTAAACTTATTTTCAAGGTGAGGTCGGTGATCCAGAAGCCCGTCTCTGGCTGGGGTAGCCTACTTTATGTTAAGAGCCATTAGAGGATCTACAGGCTCTGGAGCCAGCTGGGTGTGGATTGCAATCCCCAGCCCTGCCACTTGTTAATTATATGGCCTGTATGCCGTTTTTTGAGCCTTGAATTCTTTATCCCTAAAAGTGTGACAATAATTGCTACCTCACATAGGCTAATATGGCGAAAAAGTGTAATAAGCATGTAAGGTCATCAAGTAACACATGGTTTCAGCTTCTAGCTAAAATGCCTAAAAATGTGTCTATAATATGGGAGGTTTTGATAATGATAGCAGCTAACATTTGATAGTGCTTTACAATCTCAAAGCACTTTCATAAACATCCACATTTATTCATGCAGCATTTATTGAGCATTTATTTAATATATACACCAGGAAATGGGCTCTGTACAATCTAACGAGAAAGGTAGCAAGGATTTTTCTCTTTTACAAATAAGTAAACTTGTCTCAAGGATGAGATGACTTTTCTGCGGTTGTTATTCAGCTACTAAACCTCACTTAATCCAGATTCTACCTAAAATTCCACATCCTTTCTGCTGCATCTCACTCCCATCTGATCAGTACAAACGCTGGATAATGGAGCTGTCTGTGGTCTTTAAGTGCAGGCACTGCAAGGTGTTTGGGGCACTTCGCTAGCCTAAGAAGCCATCGCCTCTTGCTTAACCAAAGCAGGGAGGCCCCAGCAGGGAACTTGAGCGTCCTCCCTGGGGCCAAGCAGGGCTGGTGATAACCTAATCGGCTCTTAGGGGCCAGGCAGATTGTGGAATTGCTCCTTAATTCTCCTCACTGGTAGAATAATGGCCTCTGATATCAGGGACCTACCTCCATAGCATTTAAAAGACTCTGGTACATTCTGGGAACCATCTTTCCTCTCTGAACCTAGCTGCAGTCAACCAACCAGATTCTACACCTCTTTTTATTGGATCCTAGGGAGCTCAGCTCCTCCTTCAGGAGCATCGCACAGCCCACACCACCCCACTGCCACCATCAGCCACACACATCCAATTCAAAGGTGGTATTTGAGTGCCTCCTTCCTTATCCCTTGTCCTCCAGTAGGGAAAAAAAAAAGTCATTTTGGGAATCTTGCATGATACTACTACACCAGTGGTGCTGTTGGAAAAAAAATCATTTTGAAAGAAAATTCAGTAGACATCATTCATTTTGTTGCTGGCCTATGAATAGGAGCAAAGCAGTATTCAGGTTAACCTTGCCCAGTTACAAAAGCCTGTAGCTAATTCTACCTCTTACTCATCTTCCCTTGAATTCTTTCTTGACAAGAATATCTGTTTCCTTCTGAGCATAGCTCTAGTTATTTACTTTCACTTCCTTATCCAACTAATCTGAATTTGAGATGACGTAGCTGTCTGAGGTCAGCCGTGCACTTTCTTTCTTTGAGATTGAAATATTCTTTTAAGGCTCTCTTTTCTTCCCTTGGTCTGAGACCAGGAAACTACAGAGCACTAGCTTCCTGGTATGTGGAGGTGTTTCTGCAGTTGAGGGAATGACCAGCTTTGTACAGTAACTGAAGTTGCTCAATAAAAGTCCAAGCAAAGAGCCTAATGTCCCCCATTGATGTGAGAATAAGGGCTTCTGGTGGTCCAGAGGCCCCTAGTCTAGCATTTCTGTGTCACCTGTACTAATTTTCTCTCCTTTCTCCAGGTTGGTTTATAAGTGGTTCCTGCTGATCTACAAAATCAGCTATGCCACTGGCATCGTTGGCTACATGGCTGTGATGTTTACCCTCTTTGGTCTTAACTTATTATTCAAGTGAGTACCCTTTGCTTTTGTTTTTGCTGGTGTTTAGGAAAGGGGTACTGGTGAGATGTACCTTCCTTTCTGGGGCAAGTCCTGAGTATGAACAAAGGGGTCATGGCACCCTGGGTAGGAGACTTGGGCTGTGGGGCAAGGGGGGTGGGCCCTCCATGATTTGTGTTGGCAAAGAGAAAGAAATGTCTGGATAATAGAGTTAGAGTCTCAAATCATTGATTGTATTTCCCAAGAGTTTATATTTTAGTGGAAAAATGTAATAACAAAAGTAGGCATTAGTAATTACTGTAGCCAGTTACCTATAGCTCCATCACCCTAATAGAACCGTCTTCCTTGTCTGCGTGTGACATTTTATTGCAGCATCCTCTCTCCCTGAGGAGAGACTTATGTTCAGATAGACAGGGGTTGGCAAACTATGTCCTGTGGGCCAAAGTGGCCTCCTGGTTTATAAAATGAAAAAACTTTTTACAGGAACAGTCACACTCATTTGTTTACACATTGTCTATGGCTGTTTTTGCAGTAAAACAGCAAAGTTGAATAATTGTGGCAGATACAAAACCTAAAACATTTACCATCTGACTCTATAGAAAAAGATTGCTGACCCCTGGACTCAGCTGAACTCATAAGACACAGTTGGCCACACCTGGTAGCAGATCCACCCAGAAGGATACAAGACAGGAAATAGCAGGGCAGTGTCTGTAGGAGTCCTCAGAATAGTCCCAGGGCTGAGATACAAGGGAATGAGACCACGCAGATGGGTCTGGGAGCCACCCAGGCCCAGAATCCCCCATGTCCCACAAAGGGATACATCAGCTTTCAGACTCTCCCAGTCCAGATACAGTGTACTAATCACAAGTCGGGGTTTAACATGGAAGCACTGATGCTTTGTAACACAGCTGACATTTCACCTTTATCAGGTTTCTAAGGAAATAGTTCCAGAAAGTTAACCTTTCAGTCCCACTCTGTTGTTGGGCACATAGGTTGTTTTTCAGTTTACTGCTGTCACAGATGACAGCAGTTGCTAAGTTGCTTCCTAAGGATACTTTACCAGGAGTGGGATTCTGACTGTTGCTTCATATTGTCAAGCTTTCCAGAAGATCTGTATCAGCCCAGAGGTCCACCACCCCCAACTAAGGCAGAAGCCGAGTAATCCTGGAGGCTGAGACTGGAGAGTACAGTGAGTGAGTAGGGCAGAAGAAGGTAGAAATGTTTCCTGGCCGAGGTAGTAGGGGCTGGGGACTGTGGATCATGAGGAATCCTAAGCTTGGGACAGTACACTGAAGCCAGAGAGTTGGGATTCAAATCTAAATTCGTGACCACTGGCCTCTTCCTCAAACCTAGTACATTGTGGGCAGGAGTCTCTGAAACTGAAAGGAATAAGTTCTACTTTATATAGTGTGAGGACACCCATGGAATTCTTTATTCCAGGGATAGTACAGGCTAAAAGCATAAACAGGCTACACAAAGGCTTATAGGAATTCATCAGTACAGAGTCAATATATCTTACCAAAGGAAAGCAAGATATTTCCAGATATCTTCCTAACCTATGTGGTTAAAAAAAAAAAATCAAGATTCTGCATTATGTTTCAAAGATATTTATTCTAGAATTACAATTTCTTTTTACTTATGTAAACTGTACAAGGAGGAAAACATAATTGAGAATCTTGACCATTTTTATGCTACTGATCAAGTTAATTGGTATAAGATCACAGTGTTTCATTAGTAGGTTAAATACTACATTATTGGGCAAAAAAAATAATAAAGATGAAGATCATTTCCTTCAAAAAAAAAAAAAGGTTGGGCAAGTTCAAGTTTCTAAGATAAATATAACTTACAACTTTAAGTGAACACATACTATTAACAGTAAAATGTTTTAACAAAGATAATTTTCTATAAGAAACATTTAAAGATTCAAGTTTGCAAATTATTGGTCCCTGGAATTACTAAAAACAACGTTCCTAATATTATAGGCATGTTGTCTGTCTTAGTAAGTAGACTTGGACCAGAATTTAACTTTGATGACAATACAGAATATGTATAGATGCAACTTAAAATTTTGTGGTAACTGGTATGTAATTATTTACTAACTTTATCTTTTTTTTCTAAAGGTGTGGTTGGCAAACTTTTTCTATAAAGGGCCAAAGAATAAATATTTTAGGCTTTGTGGGACAAAAGGCAAAATCGAGGATAGTATGTAGGTACTTACATAACCAGATAGAAGGCTCTTCCCTTGCTCCCCCCTTTGCCTGGGTGGGCTGTCTCAGATGGTGGGCATACTTTGCACCCACTTGCCATCAGATGAGACATTCTCAGGAGGGGCCTGATGGGGGTGGGTGACCACTGGGATCATTTTCGCTCTATGCTCCAGTGACACCCAGATCCTGCTGGGCCACTCCCTCCTTTCGGAGGGCTCAGCCACTTCAACTTGGGCAGCTGGCTGAAGGTGAGGCAATTTAGTGAGTTGCCAACTTCCAGACTGAAAACTCCACTGCTTAGTGCCCAGCAATCGCTAACAGTGGAGTCCCAACATATAGGTGTTAGCCAGAGCAGGCCCTAGGCAGCTGCCATGGTCACCAGTTAGAGGAGGCAGGCCCTGGCAATAAAGTGGGGAAGAGGGCAGAAGGGGATACCCTGGCTTGGTCTTTGCAGTTCCCAATCCTAGCCTGTACAGATGGTGCCCACAGAACGTATAAAAACAGGCAACAGGCTGGATTTGGTTTTCGTTTGCCAACACTTGCTCCAGGTCTTGAGGCTTCCAACTTAGGCGCTGCCTTACATGTCCCAGAGCAGTAATCCAAAGCAGTGGCGTCCGAGGGCAGGCCTGACAGACAGGCTGTGCTACTTCCCTTACAGGATCAAACCAGAAGATGCCATGGACTTTGGCATTTCTCTCCTCTTCTATGGCCTCTACTATGGTGTTCTTGAGCGGGACTTTGCGGAAATGTGTGCAGACTACATGGCGTCTACCATAGGGGTGAGTTCACCTTGGCTCTTAATACTGCCTCCTGCCACCTCCAGAGAGTTCAGGATAGCATCACTTGTTTGGTGGAAGAGGTAAGCCGTACAAAATCCTTCAAGATCTGAGCGGTATATAGGGAGATTCCTTCCTTAAAAATTGGAAAGTCAGATCTCAGATGGAATTTTTAACTCTAAGCCATTATAAGAATCACTTTACCCTGCAGGAGATTGTCGCTCAACAAATATTTAATGCCTCCTATGTGTCTGGGCACTGTGTATGTGCTGAAATGACAAAGGTATACAAAAATAAACTTGGTTCTTGCCCAGATGGAGTTTACTCTCTAGTGACAGAGATGAATATTAAAGTAATGAGAACATAAATAAATTATATGTGATATATAATATATTATTATATTATGAATTATATTACTAAAATTATAACTTTAATAAATGTTATGAAGGGAAGGGTCATGATACTATGAACAAATATAGTCCTAGTCTTGGGGCTCAAAGGTAGCTTTCCTGAAGATGTGACTATTGAACTGACCTGAACAATGAGTAGGAGTTAACTAGATGAAGTGAAAAGTGAAGTGTGTACCGGGGAGAGGAAATAGCATGTGTGAGAGTCCTGCAGTGGGAGAGAGGGTGAGCACTTTGAGGAACTAAGGCTCATGTGGCTGCTGGGCTGAATTATAGTGGAAGTATCTGGCGGGATAGTCAGAGGCTAGACTAGAGAAAGCCTTTTGGCCAAATGAAAGATTGTCATTTTTATACTAAAAATACCAGGAGGCTAGGATAGAAAATGACACTATCAGATCTGCACTTTGAAATGATCATTCTGGCTGCTTGGGTAGAGGATAGATCAAAGCACATAGATTGGAGTGACCTGCTTAAGACTGTTTAAGAGACAGTTGCAATAATCTGGGCAAGGTGAAGGTAGCTTGGATTAGGGCAGAGGTGGTGAGAAGTGGGGAGAAGTGGACTATTTGAGAAGTATTTTAGAGGTAAGTTTGACAGGACTTGGATATAGATTCATTCTGGAGACTGAAGGAAACAATATGAAGGAAAGAAAGGGAGATGTCAAGGCTGACATTTCTAACTCAAGCAACTCCTTGGATGGGCTACTCTTCACTGAGATAGGAAATGCTGCAAGAGGACCAGGTGGAGACCGTGGGGAGACTCTTCAAGCTTAGAATACGGGTAAAGTAACAGCCAATCTAAGAAACCCAAGTCAGTATCCCCATTTCTTTTTTTCAAAATGTAAATATGTCTTTGCTTTGCTGTTGATAACAGTAATACATCCATTTGGTAATTGTATAAACAACACAGACTTGCTCCGCATCTCAATATCATCCTGTTAGACCTCACCCCAAGGAGGAATATTTCCAAGTTTAATAGACATATGTCCAATTCTATGCTGAAATACGTGTGACTCTGTCTGGTGAGTGAGGACTGAAGGACATTCAGAAGTTCTTGCTACATCGAGGTTTGGCAGGTTAGGAGAATATCTGGGAAGCAGGTTCTCTTGGAACACCCGGCTACCAGTCCTAGTGTTTAGGCAGCAGATATCAGTGGAGACCAATTGAGAACAAGAAGGCTTGGCTGTGACTTCATGTGAGGCACCTCAGCAACTCTTGGTGAGTTTGAGGCAGTTTTGAAGGTAGGGGCCTATTGGCTGCGCAAATTTGCATGTCACTGCTGCTGCGACCTCATTTGTGCCATGAGCTGGTAGTCTCAGGCCAGTTCATGTTAAATAGAACACTCAGCTGTCACCTCCAGTAGCTTTAATCAGGTACAGTTTTGGATCTAGGACTTTGTTCCTCAGTGTCATGGGACTGTTTATTTTTCCTGTAATGAATCAAATTGAAAACAAAGCATATTGGGTCACTTTATAGACAGCCTATTATTAGATTCTTTTCTGAACAGCTGTCTTATGTTTTAGCTGCATTTCACGTCTTTTATCTATTTGTGTAGATTTCAGCAATTCCTTTAATCAGTTCACTCCCAAAAGAAATTTCCAGGCCCTGGATTGTCTCATTACTAACTTCACTTTCAACCGCAGCTGTTTACTAAGACTGCTTAATGGCATAGCCAGCTTTTCAAAGTCACTCTCGCCAGAATCCTGTCCTTTACCCTCTAGTGATTTCTTTTTCTTCTCATTCTGTTTTTATAGGACCAATTCTCTGCTTTTTCCAGGTTGTTGCCAACTTTATCTCAAGATTATTATTAGCTGTCAATTTAAGCATAGCCTTAATTCCCTCAGATGGGTCCCTAATAACCAGCCTACAGAATCCCTCTTATGTCCAAATGGAAGTGAGCTCAGAATTGATCCATAAGTTAGCTTCTCCTCTGGGAGATGGAGCTGTTACATTGGCCTCCCAAAATGGGATTTGAGCTGGGCCTCTTTCCATGCTCTCGGGAAGAATTATTGGGTACTCCAGTGATTATAAATGATAATCCCTAGTAACATAATTGCCTAATAATGATCATTCCAGCTTCACCAAGAGACCTGGTGGGACAATTTCTTGTTAGGGTGAAGTGTGCCTCAACCACTAGCTCTTCACCTCTCATATTCTCCTTCCTTTTGTGGGATCTTGCTTGTTACCACCACTACTCCATAACAGTGTGGCCCAAGGATAAACCCATGTACCTCCTTGTACTTACTCTTAGCACAAGAACATAAAGCTCAAACAATCACACTGGACTTTATTAAAGGGTTGAGGATGATAGCAGGGAAATAAACCATGAGAATCTGAATGAGGTTAATCTGACTTACCAGGCTGCCTCCTTTCCAGGGCTTTCAGATACTGCCTCATTTAACTCTAGCCTACCTCTTAGCACCCACCACCTCGAATCCACATCTAGACAACATCCTCCAGATGTCTAAACTTATAGTCTGTGTTCATGACAAAGTAATGCCACCCCTCCCCTACGCCACAGGCCAGCCTTCTGAATCCTGGTATCTCCTGTGAGCACCTACTCTTCCCTAGGTAACTTTTCAGAAGAGCCACTGTAACCAGCTGTCTCTTCCAGAGGAGGCATGCTAACCCCTTTCCAAAGAATGTGAAACTTGCTGACCCTAACTATAGACAGGCAGTTTGCTGCTTTACCAGGCTCCCATCCTGGGGGCAGAAAGTGGGTCATAGGAAGACTCGATGACTTGTGATAGTACTGGGTGAGTCACCAGGAGTTAATTCATTGGTTGTTTTCTAATAGTCCTAGCAAATATTTCTGAGACTTAGTGACAGGCCTTCTGCTAGGTCTCAGGATGACAACAGATTAGACCAGGCAGGGAAATGGGAAGAAAAACTCCAACATGGGATAAAGGAATAGATTGCAATACCTTTGCAGTTCTTTCCAAGCCTGAGAATTCTAGGGCTCTCTTATTTCTGCCCAAGTCTTTGGTCAAGTGGGCCTTGATATGCTCAGGAACTCCTGGGCCCCTAAGCCACAACAACCTCAATTTTAAGAATATCCCTGGCCTTGAAGCCAGGATCTGATCAATGCTTTGGGGAGGGCAATTTGAGGAAGCCAGGAGACTAGCTTTCTACATTGAGTTACCATGAGTTGGCGTTCATTGGCCAACTCATTCATTCATTTATTCAAGCATCGGTTATTTATCACCCATCTACAGTGGAAAGTATGACCACCAAGTGCAACCTTTGCTAGCACCACCACCCACTCCCGTATATAGCACTAGTTGTTTTTTTCTAAATTGTGATAAAATACACAAGCCTACCATCTTAACCACTTTTAAGTGTACAGTTCAGTGGCATTAATACATTTACATGGTTCTGCAACTGTCACCACCATCCATCCATAGAACTCTTCATTTTGCAAAACTGAAGCTCTATACCCGTTAAACAATAACTCCCCGTTCCCCGCTGCCCCCAGCCCCTGGTAACAATCATTCTGTTTTCTGTCTCTTACGAATTTGACTACTCTAGATACCTCACATAAGTGGACTCATACAATATTTGTCTTTTGTGACTGGCTTATTTCACTAAGCATAATGTCCACAGGGTTCACCCATGTTGTATAATGTGTTAGAATTTTTTTCCTTTTTAAGGCTGAATGATATTCTATTGTATATATATACCACTCTTTCAGCCCTAGTAATTTTTCTTAGTCTTTTGTACATTCTGTGATCACAGCCCTTATCTCAGAGAGTCGTAGTTGATTTTGGAGAGGTACCAGATCAGGAACTAGTCTGATTCTTCTCTTGGTCCCCCTCTGGGAGTGGTTTGACCTAAAAAGATCTGTAATTAATTAATTTCACAATTCCTAGAAATAAAACCATGAGGTTTTATAATTCTATTAATAAGTAGTCTCAGTTCCTTTTACCCTGTTCTACACTACTCTGTTTAGTGTAGAATAGCTCTTTGTTTTGCCTCACATGGAGAAATTTGTGACTCTTGCTGAGTCAAGTTGACTCAAGGGAATCTTGGATGGTGTCTGTTTTTTCTAGCTGGTTACTGTGAGGTCATAAGCTTGTGACAGCCAGTCAGTATAGTTTCCATTCACACCCAAAAGTCATGTTGGGGTGGGGGTAGGGTCGTGGAGGATTGTGAAATAAGCTTATTTCTGGGGCTTTCTCCTCTACCAGAGAGATTGGGCAGGCAGGGTAGTAACATATTTGTTTGTGCTGCTCTAGACCATGTGTCCTACCTCACATTTTCTATCTTCCGAGCAAGTTTCTGTGCCCCAGATTTACTATTTCATGGATTCTCAGCAGCCCCAGATAATATGAGGACAGGACTAGCTGCCCATTCATCTGACTTGAAGTAGTGGAAAGAGCTAAGAGGTTAGAGTCAGACAGACCTAGTTTCAAAATCTCATCCACTTTTAATTGGCTGTGTACTCTTGAGCAAGTTGCTTGACCTCTCTGGTCTTGTTTTCTTAGCTGTAGTAATATTACCAGACCTACAGAATTGTGGTAAGGAACAAATGGGTTAATGCCCAGCACTTTGCAGAGTCAGAGTAGCCTGGCCTGTGGCAAATAGTCAGTAGATGATGATGATGATGATGGTGATCGCTACCATTTTATCACGTACCGACTGTACCGTCCTGCTGTGCAGTGCAGCTACGTACTATATACCTGTGCTCACCTGGAGCACAGAGGCCCTATAGGATTTGTCTTTGTATCTTCATCACACCTGAGACACAGAGCAAGACACAGAACAGACAAATCATCGTCACAAGTAATTGCCAGTTCTCTCTGATGCCATCTATTGTCTGAAGTCATCTCAGACCACTCTGTGGCATGGAACCTTCACTACTCGAATCCTGAGAAATGGGTATTTTATTCAGGTTTTCAGCAAGTATTTCTGGAGCCAGCTACTTGAACTGATGGGCACCGGCTGCTCTCCCTGGCCTCAGGCAGGGCTCTCCTCCTTGGGCATCAGTCTCCTCACTGGTCAAGGTGCTGGACCAGAAGAGCTCGCAGGGCTTTCATGGCCCACATTTCCTGTGACGGTCAGTGGCTGTAGGTTAGAACTCGTATTTCCTGAGCACCTACTTTGTGCGAGCTCCTGGGATTTTGCATGTTTTCTCAGTGCATCTTCCCAATATTGTGAGGCTGGGAGTAGTGTTTCTATCCTGCAAGAGAGAAATCTGACTCTATCTGGAGAGTTTACCCTCCCATTTTGAGTAACCTCTGTTTCAAATCTTCTTCACTCTCAGACCTCTCACATTCCTTCCCTCTATCCCCTTCATTCTGAGCAGATGACCCTGCCTCTTTTTGCCTGAGAAACTAGAACCCAAACAGGAATCCCCACAATTCCTGACATCATATTTACATATCTACTCCTGTTTGCGCCTGTCTCCTGCTTCCCTCAGTTACAGTGGAATAAGTGGCCTTTCTCGCATCAGGGGCCAGCCCTACCTGTGCTCTGGGTTCCACACCTCCTGCCTGCTCAGGGACCCGGTAAACTGTTGACTTCTGTTCTCGCCCACGACTTCAACTTCTCCCTCTAATGGGCTCTTCCATTAACCTTTTCAGCATTCTGTTTCAAAAAATACCCTTTCTTTGGCCCACCTTCTCCTCTATCTACTGAGCCATTTCCTGACATTCACAGCTGACCTTATGAAGTTCCTGTTTCCTTTTGATCAACTTTTACTTACTTTTTGGCCCATTCTAATCTTGTTCGACTCATACCCTTCTTCTAAAGTGACTCTTACTCAAATCATCCATGACTCCGTGTCACCCATTCTGGTGAACTGACTGGTCTCAGCAGCTACCAGCACGGTTGACTCAGCCATTCCTACCTCCTTAAAAGGGTTTTTCCTCCTCAGCTTTTGTGACTTTACTCTGTCCTGGTTTTCCTTCTGTCTCTCTGCTATTTTCTGTCTCCTCTGCTAACTTTCCCTCCCCTTACATGTTATTCTTCCTCTGAGCTCAAGCCTAAACTATCTTCTCTGTTCTTCACAGAAAAGGTATTTCCCTTTTCTTTTCCCCTGGCTTCCAGATCTCTCATCCAAAACTCTCGTCTGAGCTCCAGACCTTTTCTCTTCAGCTGTCTCTTTGGCATCACCAGTCTGTCCACTTCTTTTAGTTTTTACTACTATCAGGTTAGCCCAGGCCATTACCTTAGCACAGGCCCACATCATCTGTTGCTTTTAAAGAGTGGTAACTGTCTCTTAGCTGGTCTCTGAATCCATGTTGGCCTCATCTCCAGTCCACTTTTTATACAGAAGACAGAGTGATCTTTTAAAAATATGAATCTGATCATGTTACTCCTTACTTAAATAAAGCCTCTAGACAACTTCCCATTTTAAGCCCAAGATCTTTCATGTGGCCAGTAAGGTCTTACTGCTTTCCTCTTTCTGTAGGTTCCTTTCAGTTTCTCAAATACACCGAGTCCTTCCTGCCCCCAGGGCCTCTTTGCACTTCTGCCTTTCTTCCCCTCACTAACGCCCACCCATCCTTTACCTCAGCCTCAAATGCCGTTCCCACCAGGAAGCCACCTCAGATGACCAAGGCTTGGTTAGGAACCCCTTTCACTGCTGTGTTCTTTGGTAGCCTTTTTAATGCCTTTTTAAGTAAGTAATTATCATTTTAGCCTTTTTAATAATTAGTTCTCATCTTATGTAAATATTTTGTTAATGTCAGTCTCCCCTAGCTGTAGATTCCATGAGGACAGAGGCCAGCTATGTGTTTTTCCGGCATTCTGTCCCAAGGTCTTAATACCAGTGACTGATACTTAGTAGGTGCCCAATGTATTTTATTTTATTTTATTTATTTTATTTTATTTTATTTCATTTTTTAATATATTTTTATTGAAGTATAGTCAGTTTGCAATGCTGTGTCAATTTCTGGTGTACAGCACAATAGTTCAGTCATAGGAACATACGTATGTTCGTTTTTATATTCTTTTTCACCATAAGTTACTACAAGATATTGAATATAGTCCTCTCTGCTGTACAGTATAAACTTGCTGTTTATCTATTTTATGTATGGTAGTTACCAATATATTTTGACGGAAGGAGGGAGGAAGAATTTAAGTGGCTTGCTCAAGGTCATCAGATAGTAAGTGACAGAGGTTGGAAATGCAGTCTGTCTAATGCTGACAAATTAGTTGCACAACAATGTAAATATACTTACTAACACTGCCAAACTGTATATTTTAAAGTAGTTAAGATGGTAAATTCTGTATTCCGTGTGTTTTACCATAGTTTTTATAACAACGACAAGAAAGAAAGAAACAATAGGTTAAATTTCAACTTTTTTCTCCTTGGGGCAGAGGGAAATGCTATATAGCTATTTAACAATAAACCACAAGGAAACTATACAAAATTTGGGATTCCTTTCTGGAACTTAGAATTGGTTATCCATTGTGATTAAGTGTGATGGTGAATGGTCTTTTAAAGTTGGGTGTGTCTCGTTGTCTTGCACTTTGCTTTATTGCACTTTGCAGATAATTCAGGGTTTTTTTTTTTTTACAAATGGAAGGCTTGTGACAGCCCTGTGTCGAGCAAGTCTGTCAGCACCATTTTCTAAGAGCACTTGCTCACTTTGTGTCTGTGTCGCATTTTGGTATTTCTTACACTATCTCAAACTTTTTCATTAATTTTATATTCATTATATGTACCAGGAAACTGAAAAATCCCTGTGACTCGTTTTATTGTAGTCTTCTGGAACCAAACCTGCAAAACCTCTGAGGTTGGCCTGTAATATATATTCATTAAGGAAAATATGAGTGCAGAAAAGTAGGCAGCTAATCCTGCTACCAAACTGTCTCTCGTGTGAACATTCTCATACATTTCCTCCTGATCTTTTGATAGATTTGGGCTTGTCTTCACATGTGCTGATAATACAGTGCCTCCAATTTGGTACCCTGCTTCTGACACCTAATGTTACATCTCAAGCTTCAGTTGACTCCTGTCTAGTCCCTGGAGTGCGAACCATAATTTATTTAGGCATTTTCCTGGTATTGGTCATTTATGGTTGTTTCCATTTCTCTGCTTGCTTTTGTTTGTTTGCTTTTGTTCTTTTTGTTACCTGTTTTTATTGTAAAATATATGTAACATAAAATTCACCATTTTAGCCATTTTTAAGTGTACAGCTCAGTGCATTAATTATATTTACAGTATTGTGCAATTGTCACTACTATTTCCGAAATTTTTCATCACTCCAAACTGAAACTATATCCTTTAAGCAATAACTCCCTGTTTCCTCCCCCTAGCCCCATTCTGTGAATTTGCCTATTCTTGATGTTTTATCTAAATGGAGTCATACATTTGTCCTTTTGTGTCTTAGTGTAATATTTTCAAGGTGCAGGCATGTTGTAGCATGTATCAGGACTTCATTACTTTTACGACTGAATGACATCCCATTGTAGGGATATACCACGTTGTGTTTCTCCATTCTTCTGTTGAGGGTCACTTGGGTTGTTTTCACCTTCTGGCCATTTGTGATTGCTGCTGCTGTGAGCATTGGTGTACAAGTGTGTGGTCAGCTTCTGTTTTCATTCTTTAGGGGTATGTACCTGAGAATGGAATTGCTGTGTTGTGTGGTAACTCTGCATTTAACTTTTTGAGCGCTTGCCATACTCTTTGCTTCTTTAATTATAAATAACATTTAAATGAGTATCTGTATGCATGAAGCTTTTTTTAGATTTCTACTATTTCTTTAAATTCCTTTAAGAGAAATTAATGGGTTAAATGGTGTGACAGTTTGCCAAATCCTATCGAAAAGGATTGAACCTCTTTTGCTGCTGCCACAAGTGTCTTGAGAATGCCCTTGTCACCCAACCCGCATTGCACCGGGTGCTTCACCATTTCAAATCTTGGAGAAGAGCTGTTGTCCATCTCTCGTGGAACCAGAGTCTGGCCGCAGACTGGCTTTGCTGATGTAGCCCCCGATCATCAGCCCTGAGCCCTTCTCCCTCCTTGTCCCTGATGCTGACCCAGCCCAGTCTTTAGGTCCTATTAGACTTGGCTTCCCAGCCCATCTCTGGTCTATTCCTTTCACTCCATCTGCCCAGCAAAGACCTGAGGCCTCTGGTACTTTCCCGCTTTGATGGATTCTCACATCTTTCCTGTCTCCTGTTCTTCTCTCCCAGTTCTACAGCGAGTCGGGCATGCCTACCAAACACCTCTCGGACAGTGTGTGCGCCGTGTGTGGGCAGCAGATCTTTGTGGATGTCAGTGAAGAGGGCATTATAGAGAACACATATAGGCTGTCTTGCAACCACGTGTATCCTGCCTGGAGCTCCTGGGCCACATCTTTCCTGCCACTTGCATACTCCAGTCATGGAGGGAAGGCAGGGGACATTACCCTGGGCATGCTGGCCAGACCTTTGACGGTTGGGGAGGCGTAAGACAAGAGGCAGACGTTTGGGAGATATTCTGTGCTAAGGAAGCCAACCCCCAGGAGTGGAAACGGCAGCCTTCTTCACTCTTTGTCATAGATGGGAGCCACTCTTACGTAAACAGTGTTCATAGCCTGACTGGATCAGAAGGGAGCCCAAAGCTGCACAGCTGCCCCAAGATTGAGTCGATCACAGGGAGGAACATCCTCTGACTGGCTCCCTGAGTTTCAGAATCAAATCCCTCCGAGTGACACTTCTAATATTTATCACGTTCTTACCCGGCTCCCGTTCTGTGCTGTGTATTATCTCCATTTTGCCCCATAACAGCCCTGTAAGACAGAGATTGTTATCCTCACCTGACATATGAGGAAGCAGGGTCAGAGAGAAGGGATCTGCCCACGATTATACAGGTGGAGCCAGGATTTAACTTCCCTCCAGAGCTAGTGCCTGGGCACCTTGAAGACCGGCCTGAGGCCGAGTGCCACCTTGGCCACCCATTTCCCTTGACCAGTGCTGCTCAGATTCCACGAGTTCTGCATCCGCGGCTGGTGCATTGTGGGAAAGAAGCAGACGTGTCCCTACTGCAAAGAGAAGGTAGACCTCAAGAGGATGTTCAGCAACCCGTATCCTTTGTTTGGGTTCTTGTTGGGAGTGGGCAGTGGAAGAAGATACTGGCCAGTGTGACCCACTCAGCATTCGGGTCCTTCTGGGGCCCTCCCTGCTGCCCCCAACCTGGTACCCGTCCACCCGTCTGTTTGGCTTGTGGTCGGGGGACGTTGGGGTGGGATGTGGGCTAGGACCAGCAGCTCAGCTTCTCCTCATAGTTCTAAATCCCTCAAGGGTAAACTGAGTGGTGACAGCTCCAGTTACTGCTTGCTTACTATGCCTGGCCCTGTGCTAAGTGCTTTGTATTATCACTCGATTCTCCAGCAGCTTAGTGATCTGGGTAGTAATAGTCTCATTTTACCAGTGAAACACTTTAGAGGTTGAATAACTTGTTCAAGGTGACATAACTAAAGGACAATGTCTTACCAAGACAGGCAGTGCTGGGACCAGCTCTGTGCCAGTACAGGGTTGGCGAGGGGCCCCCTGTACCCATCCACTTAGAACACAGGACCCCTGCTCCTCTGAGCTGCCACTCCCTACCTGGCCAGCCCTCCCCACTGTGCCCTCAGCCTCCTCTTCCTCCCTACAAACCTGTCTGTCAGAAAGTGCCCAGCCACTTCTCTGGCCCCTCCTCACTTCCCTCTGGCATCCAGGGACCTCTCCCAGCTGCCCTTTCTCTCTACACCAGGGTTCCTTGTCTCTAGACACCAGCTGGCCATGCGGGGCCACTGTGTTCTCTCTTTAAAGTTCTTTGCTTGGTTCTTCCAGGGTCTAGTTCCCAGACAGTTAAGAAAGTCCATGGTCAAGCTGAGGGTTGGGGCTTCCCTTAGTTCTCCAGACAGGGCCAGGCTGCTCTTTCCAATGCCTTCGGAGGGATTCCCCACAGTCTCATGAGGTTCAGCCTGTGCTTTCCCCAGGGCTGGATTCCCAGGCGCGCTCTCCAGATGTCTTGCCTGGCGTTTAGCCATAAAGCGAAAGAAAGGGACTCATCTCCGGGGCTACTTGGCCTCCGTAGGGCCTGGTGGTTGGTGCCCTTGGGTGGGGATTCCTTAAAGCCTCTGCCAGGGGTTATAGCCCGTGACCAGCCTCTTGCTCTGCACCCTCATGCCTCTGTCCCTAGACTCAACCCCTTCCTTGATGTAGAAAACTTCCCATTTTGGTTATTACGGGAGCCCTCAGGGTTATCCCACTCCCAGCCTCCCTGCAGCCGTTGTCACCGATAACCTACAGCAGTCTCGAGCTGAGTTCCCACTTATTGCTGGTCCCTCCTTAGCACAGGGGTTACACGGAGGCCCTCTCTGCATGTTGGTTGTAGAGAGCTTAGTCTCATCCCTCCACCATCTCCCATGTCTGTCCGATTTTCTCCACTGGTCCCCTCAGCCCTCCTCCCCCATTCTCTGGGTTTGGCCCTCCATCCTAACTTGGAGAGGCTGGGTGGGGTTTTCTAGAAAGAGCTATTTCCTTTCCTTGTAGGCTGATTTCTGTGGAGCATCTGAAAAGTGTAGGCAGAGCTCTCACCCATCCCTTAGACCAGATTTGCTACTGAAACACGTAGTCTCTTTTCTTTAACGCACTGATAGCTGGGAGAGGCCACACGTCATGTACGGGCAACTGTTGGACTGGCTTCGCTACTTGGTAGCCTGGCAGCCTGTCATCATTGGCCTGGTGCAAGGCATCAACTACATTCTGGGCCTGGAATAGTCAGGAAGAAGAGCATCCACCCACCATGGACCTCAGGGCTCTCTCCTCCCTGCCCTCCAAGACCTCCTGGGTGGGAAAGACTCAAAGGGGCACTTGGGCCACTCAGGACCCCCCTGGCTGTGTCCAGGCTGGGGAGGGGTACGAGGGAGAGCCAGTCGGTGGGGCTGTCAGCAGTGGGGGCTTTTTAAAAGAAAACTATTTTGATGAATATATTTAAAAACCTTTTTTTATTGTGGAGCATAGGAATTGCCCTAACTCCTCCAGGCCTCCACCTCTCTACCTGAGCAGGGCGGGAGCGAGCTACAACATTTTTGGTGTAAAGGAGCCTTCTCACCTCTGGCTGAGAGCCCCAACCCCTCCCCTCCCTTCCGAGTGTGGGGCACCAGCCTGGTGCAGTCAGTGTGGAGGAGCCAGAGAGCTCTGGGCGGTGCACCGATGAGCACTGAGGGGTGAGACATCCTCCCTGCTCCCCTGGCTGGGGGTCCCGGGCATGCACTGTCTGACTCCGTCTTCCCCTGTGCAGGGGCCATAGGCTGGTTGAGGCAAGTGGACCCTTGTGACTTTTTCTAACAAGGGAAGCCCTGGGACCTCAGAACTCACTGAGGATTTGTTTGGGAGTGACCAGCAGCAGCAGCAGCTTGAGGAATCTGCCTGAGCAGGGCTGTACTCAGCCAAGAAGAAAGACCATCCATACACAACTGAGCCCAGGGAGCTGCTGTCAGCAGCAGTGATTGAGGGCTGCTTATGCAGGCTGACCCTCTGCCCACAAGTGGTGACACGTGCCAAAGGCCACTGCCATGTCACTTCCTTCCCTGAATGCCCGAGGGAGCGTGTGCGCATGTGTGTGTGTGTATGCGTGGCAGAGGGACTATGACAAATGTGAGACTTCTTACTGTGGTCACAGTGTTCCCTTAAAGCTGGCAGGGGATTCCCAGCCCAAGGAATAGCTATCCCCATGTTAGCCTTGTCACCCACGGGTCCTGCCTGGGCCTGGCAACATGAGTCAGGGGGCAGCAGGAAGAGGGTCAGGCCCAGGTGAGTATGGGTTCTGGAAAGGGATTCTAGGTAGGCCCCAGTTCTGGTCCTAAGAGTTTTGAAGGAAGTGGGAAGGCAACACAGGCCTTCCGCACTGGATTCTTAGGGAATATGGCCCTTCAAGTGCAGCAAGAGCCAAGCAGGATCTTGTGACTCTGTTCTGAATAAAGCTCCGTGAGCTGGGCTGGAAAGCTGAACATCCATCTTGCTTTTCTTCTTCCCACCTCTTTCCCTGGGGCCTGGGGATGGTCGGCCCTGCCCAACGTCCCTGAGGCAGAAAAGGCCCTGGGCTGACCCTGGGTGACTGTCCTCACCACCTGAGGTCAGGTCCCTGCCTCTTCCACCTCTCCAGGTCCCTCTCAACTTTGGCTTCTCTTACCCAGCTGTGGCTTCCCAGGTCCCCCCATCTTCAGAGATTGGAATGGGTACAGGGGTCATCCTTTCACTTTTGTCCCCCACATCCCCATGTCAGGCTCCCATGAGAAGTTGAGGCCAGGCTGCCTGAGGCGCTCTCTTCATATTCCAGCAGTCCTGAGTCCCATGACCTCCCAGCAGCCCGACTCTGGCCTTGGTTACACTCACACTTGGTTATCTCCTCTCCCTTGCATCCCCCTCCCCCTCCCCAAAGGGCTGTGTCTCTCAGAAGCCCCAGGCAGCCTTGCCTCCCGACCTGCTGGAGACACTGGTGTCCCTAGGGTGGAGTTTCTCAGCATCTTGCAGCCCAGAATCTCCTGGGGCAAGAGGTAGGGGGAGGAACTGAAAAGATGAAAATGTCCTGGGAAAGAGGAGTTAACTTTTAGTCTCCTGTGTGTACATTAGTCCGGTTTTTACACACACACACACACACTCACTCACTCACTCACTCACACACTCACAACCCCTTGGGATTGCAGCAGGCGACATTCCTCATGCATCTTCTAAACCTGATTCTACCTCCTAGCCTCCCTGGCTCTGTCCCCAGCATCCCATCCTCCTGATCACAGAAACCACCAACCCCAGACACTCAGGTCTGCCCTTCACTGTGCTCTCTGAGTGCAGTGGATCACCAGTCCTGTTCTTTCTGCCTCCGCGGGCACGTGCATGACCCTGACAGCGAATGCCTCCCTCATCTCACCCAAGTCCTGGCCCTGCCACAGCGCCAGCTGCATTTGATTTATTCATATAGCTCTGTTGTTACTCAAGCCAGTGGTGGGTACTCTGCTCTTTCTGGGACGTGTCCTCTCCTGCCCTTGGGGCCAGCACTCCAATTTGTGTTCCAAGTGCTCAGCTCGTCTGAGAGGTTCCCGCAGACAAGGCCAGCAAGTGCTCTAGGATAGCTCCCAGGTGGCTCACATAGGGCCAGATGCAGCTGAACTGAGCCATGGCGCTCCAAGAAGGGGCAATTCCAGAAAGGAGGGCTCTTCAGGGCTTCTTGGGAGCCAGGGAGGGGGAATCTAGACTTCCCTGTGAACTTAGATCTATAGCTGTGGCCAAGGGGCTGGGATGACAGAAGTGAGAAAGGTTCGTGAAGATGATGGCTGGGTGTTGGGTTGGTGGTTGGAGGGAGTGGGGCGCCTGAGAAAGGCCAGGATGTGGATGGGCTGGTGTGACATTGAGCCTGAAGTGGTCAAAGTGATCCAACTTGGGATCCCCAGTGCCTAGAAGAGTTGTCCCCTTGAATATGGTGTGAATGTGGAGAAAGGAGGAGGCCTGCTCACGTGGAATAGCGAAGGTGGACACCAAAGTCCTTACCCTTGGCTGGGATGGAAGAATTCATGTGTGAGAGACCGAGTAGTTCACACCTTGTGTGACCCTGGGAGGGCGGGGCTGAGCATGGGTTAAAGACCTCAGTGTGGTATCACCAAGCAGGGGGACTTGAGAGCTAGCAAGAAGGTTCCTGGCCACTGTGAATTTTGACTCAGGAAGAGGCATGGTGTGCAGGAACCTTAAGGACAGGGCCCAGGCTTTTGTCATGTGTGTGCACCTTCTCTTAGTGGCCAGAGCCTGCTCTAGGGAATCCTGGTTAGAATAAAAGTGAAAGTGAAATAGAGGGGAGAGGGCAGTGCTTTCCCGAAGGATTTCACTGTATATCCTGCCCTTACCAGAACCAGCTCTGACAGCGAAGCGAGCTTTGCCTCCCTTGTGACTAGGTAAGTCCCTGGTCCTTTGGGGCCTCAGTTTCTCATCCCTATAATTAAGGGGTTAGGCTAGACTAATAACCAGCATGATGTCGACAGTAATAAGAGCTCGGGTGGTGAAAGACTGTTACCAGGTGATCTCCTAGCTTTGTTTCTAAGGCTTGAAAGAGCTCCAGCCTGGGCTTGATGCCAGCCCTCCAGGAGCTGACCGTTGGGAAAGGTGGCCAGGATGGAGTGAACAGCAGTGCCTGGCAGCCCACTGAAAGTTCAGGCATAGGGAGGGGCTGTGGAGTCCACAGGGAGAAGAAGGCCACATCTATGGCTGGGATCTAAGCAAGCCACTGAGAAGACATGGGAGAAGCAGTTTATTCACCATCTCCTCCCCCGCCTCCCCCAGAGAGGAGGAAGTTGTCACAGATATATAGAGCCAGAGACGCCAGCTCCTGACACACGCATCATGACCATGAGACAGAGCTGGATTCCAGGTGGGACCTGGGGCTGTGCATGTGCGGGTGGAGGGGGTGGGGTGGAGTCAGAGACTAGGAAGGAGCCGTGTGGCCGGCCCTGAGGTGAACTCCCTGCAGCTGCTGTGCTGTTGCTTTCAGCCTCTGGATGCTATGGCTTTGGCTCCATTCCAAGGTCTCCATGTGCTCCATTCAAAAAGGGCCAAGAGGTGGGGGTTGAAGGGTCCTTCAGGAATCTCTGCCAGACTTACTCCAGGCAGCAACACTCTCCTGCCAAGATCAAGCTAGGATGTCAGCTGCTGACCTCTGTGACTGTCCTTTCTTCAGACCCCAGCCCTCTGTGGACCCTGCTTCTGTGTGTCCACATCATCTCCCACCTGGCTGGAGCCACACCTGTGCCTCAGGCCACCTCAGCTGCCACTGCCTCAGCTGGGATCGCTAAGGACCCCTCCCCCTCCCGGCCCCTGATGCCCCCAACAGCTCAGCAGTGCCCAGCACTGGAAGTGACCTGGCCGGAAGTGGAAGTCCCATTGAGTAAGGAGCAATTCCGATGGGAGCCCAGGAGGGCACGGTGTTCAGAGGGCGGGGTCAGGGCACAGAGGGTCTGAGGGTGGGGTTGGCTCCTGAGTGCACACCGCCCAACCTTCTGCCATGGAACCAACCACCAACCAGGCCACCTTGGCTGAGCACTCAGCATCCTCCCTCTCCTACTCAGCGTCCTGACTGTGGCCCAGGGCCCTCTACTAGATGCTTTCAAGTGGGACAGAGAATTTAGACGGAGCAGCCAGAGGGCGCCCAGCGCCTTGACTGCAGTATACCCTAAGCCCAGCCCCACCTCCCAGAGTCCATGTGCCCTCTGGCCACCTCCAGGATCCGTGGCCTACTGGTGCTGCCTCCCTGGCCAGGGCTTCTACAGTCACGAAGGCCAGGTGCTAGAAAGGGTCATTCTGAAGAAACAAGCTCAGGAGTCATCACCTGGGCCCAGGACCCACGCCCAAATACCTTTTGTTCAGCCCAGGGCCCCCTGGTAGACACCGCACTTCCCCTTTAACAGGCTTCCCACACCAGGTTCCTGAATCACGGGGACTGAGGAGCTAGGCATGGTGGGCAGGCCACAGCTCTACAGAAGGGCTAACAGCCACGTGTGTCCCCAGATGGAACGCTGACCTTGTCCTGCACTGCCTGCAGCCGCTTCCCCCACTTCAGCATCCTGTACTGGCTGGGCAATGGCTCCTTCATCGAGCGCCTCCCAGGCCGGCTGTGGGAGGGCAGCACCAGGTGAGGGGGATGGTGGCCAGGCTAGCAAGAGGGGGGTCTCCTCTTGCAGTCCAAGTTCTCTCACAGCCTTTCCTTCTCTGCTTCAGGCGGGAGCGCAGGGGCACAAGGACTCAGCTGTGGAGGGCCTTGGTGCTGGAAGAGCTGAGCCCTGCCCTGCGCAGCACCAACTTCTCCTGTGTTTTCTCCGATCCTGCGCAGACTGCCCAGCGTCACCTCATTCTGGCCCAGCTCTGGGTGAGGACCCCAAGGGAGGGTTTCCATGGACAGGAGGAGCTGTGCTCCGGTATGGGGAGGAAAGGGTGGGCTCTGTCCACAGGAGCCTCCAGCCAACGCCCACCAAGTCCCCAGGCCTGGAGTGGAAACTAAAAAGAACTTAGGGGAAACACAGCCTACAGGAAAGTGAGAAGAGCTGGCCCTCCCACTTTGGCCCTGATCCTTGTCTGCTTCACTTCCCCAGGCTGGGCTGGACACAAGCGTGCCCCCCTATTCAAGACACCCTGCCCTCCAGCAGGGCCCCTCTGCCTCACCATCCCCATAGATGAGCCCCGAAGCCTGGTTGAAATGTCACCTCTTCGTTGAGATCTGCATACTCTTGGCTCAGGCCACATTCTCCATCAACTTAATGTCATGTTTGTATTTGTCTCCTTTAATGGACTGTCCTAGGGAAGGGATCTGGGCAGAGGCTGCTTCTGACCCACAGCTGTATCTGTCACTCCAGTAGGGCCCACGATGGGCGCTCATAAATGATCTCCAATGGTGGCATAGTGATGTCCGCCCGATCATTTATCCTTTAGGCCATTATTCCACTCACAGAACATGGCCTGTCCCAGGAGGGAGTGTGGGAAGAGAGGAACTGCCACTCAGAAGCTAAAGACAAAACCAGATTCAGGCAACACTGGCCCTCAGAAGAGGTCAGCCTGTAATGCTCCTCGGGAGCAGAGGCCAGAAATGGAGTGTGGGAAGATGCTGTGGCCGCAGCGGAGTCAGGAGAAGGGATTTGAGAAGGTAGGTGGTTTGGAGGCTCAGCAGATTCAAAGGTATGCTGCTCTGGTTTTCCCACACAGACCAAAGCATCTCAGCACTCAAGGGAGAAAAATAGACTTTATTTACAAGTAATAACATTTAGAAAAGTTCCATCCCTGGCTGTTAAAAACCTTCCCATCACTCCAAATCCCACCCCAGGGTAAGTCTGGGGAAGGTGAGGGATGAGCTGCCACTGAAGGCTGGCCCCAAGCCCCCACCGAGGCACAGGGCCCCTCTCTCCTGGAAAAGACCGTCCTCTGGGCAACCATGCCCTTGTGTGGTTCGGAGCACACAGGGGTGGGGTGTTCCCACTAG